ATAGGAAGGATGTACTCGTTGCTCCTTAAGTATTGTTATCTTTGTCAAGTTTCAGAATGCAGCTAGCTGTCTGCGAGTTCCTTCATCATAATTTGTAATTCCTCGAATGGGCTCGCTATAATCACGATTTCGTCAGCTAATCTGAGGTGGTTTAACTTGTTGCCATTAACGTTGATACCATATGTTGACCAATTTGTAGTTTTAAAGATGTTTTCTAGGGCTAGATCAAAAAGCTTTGGAGATATTACGTCGCCTTGTCTAACTCCTCTCTTGGGGTGGGGTGGGATTTGTATTTTCGTCTAGTTGTACTATCATAGTTTTGTTTTCATATGCATTATTTGCCTATATCTCGCCTATATTCTACAATTATTAAATCGATAATTTCAAATGCCTTTTCATATCCTACGAAGGCAAGAAATACGGTATCCATTTTGTAAGTCAAACCAATTGTTAATAATCCTCATAAACAGTTTGTATACTCGACTGAGCAACGATATATGTTTGTATTTTCTTAGGTCACATTTGTCCCTCTATATTTGGTAGTACCTCTGATCCCACGTTTTTTATTTTTCTTTTGACGTTCTCTTTTGTTGATTCATTAGACTGGCTTTGCGAGCTGTAGAAGGTTTTGTAGAAGTCTTCGACTATCTTTGTTATTTTATATTTGGCCTCTTCCTTATTATCATCATCATCATTCTGGCTTTACAACCCTGCGTGGGTCCTAGCCTCCTCAAGAATTTTTCTCCAGTTGTCTCCATCCATCGCCTTTCTCCGCCAAGCACGTATTCCCATATTTCTCATGTCTTCATCGATGTTATCAAGGAACCATGTTCTGGAACCTTCCTGGTGTCTTTAATTTTGATGATTTTTTGCACAACCAGTGTTTCCTTATTATTGGAGTCTTTAATTTTTATGATTTTTTGGACAAGCGGTGTTGGTCTTAGACATTTTAGGCCTCTATTGTTTACAATGACTTTCTGTTGGGTTTCTTTTTGTAAAGCATAGCGTAACATACATGTTTTCTTTTTCAAGGCATTCCATAAGTTTTCCCAATCTTGCGTCTCTTTTGCCGAATCCGAAATTTCCAATGTTGTTTTCGGAATCTTCAATATTTCTTCCAATTTTGGCGTCAAAATCTCCCATTATTATTTTAGATTCTTTGTTGTTGTCTATAGCTTTTTTAAGGTCTTCATAAAAAGTATTTATTTCATCATCAGTTGCGTTTTCAGTTGGAGCATAAACCTGCACAATTTTTATTCTGGTTTGTGAATCTAGTTTTAAGATCATGTATGTAACACTGTGCGAGATGCCATGAATTGTTTAAATTTGTGATTTTCTCTTGTTGATTAAGAAACCTACTACATAATATGTATAATTTTTCTTGCCTTTGCAGTAGAGCCTGTTGTCTGAATGTAAGTCCACATACCCCTCACCTTTTCTTTTAACTTCTGATATTTCTATTATGTCCCAGTATGAGTTTCTCATCTTTTGTCTGTCAGCTACATTACAGTCAGTTGGTTCGTATATACGAAGAGTCTCGACGATACCATATAGTTTTCCAGTGTATACACTACAAACTGCAGGAAGTCTGATTAGCTTTGTAGTGTTAAAGTAGGTAACAACAGGACTACCCACCCCGTTATCATTTTTAGAGACATCTGTATAAAGAATTTTATGAAACTGATTTCGATTAAGCATGTCTAGAAATGATTATTGAATTATTGCTTTAGTAGTATCATGTTTATTGAAAGAACAAAGGGTGGTATTTGCTTGTCCTTGGAGGAAGTTGCTTATGCCACAGAGAATGTGTAGATATATGGAAGGGTGAAGTTGCAGACAGACCAAAAACAGCGAGGAGAAAATTAAGTATACGAGAGAGAGGTTGAACAGCTCTAGTGGTCTGAGAATGTTGGATGAGATTATTTGGTTGAATAAGTAGTTGGTAAACTGGACTGCAGAACCACTTTAACATAAATATCGACAGATTTATTTAGTAGAATTTTCAAATGATTTGCCGTTACTAGTAGAACATTTGTATCATCATCATAATTAATTAGCCTACAAGTAGTTAGTAAACTGGTTTTTGTGGATTCGCTGATGGGCTAGCTGAAGATGATGACAAAAGAAGATGGTCTTTCCTTAACCAGAGTCGCGGTTCGTTAGCTTCACAATACTTGCTTTGAGCTGGGCTAGACCTGAAGACATCTAAGCAGATCCTAAGACCCGTATTGTGGACGGAGTCAAGAGCTTTCAGATGTGAATTGGAGGCAGACATATATAAACAAAACTACCATATTCCATTTTGGAGCGAATAATGGATCTGTAAACTACAAACAATACCTCTTCGTCAGCTCCCCCTTAGAAATGTACTAGACTTTTTAAAATATCGTTATTTTTTAATCAGTTGCCTTTCGTTTTCTGCATGTGAGTATTCCGAGTAATTCTGGAGTTGAAAGCCAGTCCTAAGACTTTATGATAATTATTAACATCTAGTAATACTCCATGTCAAAGTTGGATTATCTTTAGTTATTTTTCTACTAAATTTCATAATTTTAGTTTTTTGAGTTCAAAAGGACAGTCCGATATGTCTTAACCATATTTCTATATGATCAATGGTTGTTTGCATTATTCGGCAGATTGTTTCGATATTCTTTCCCCTGACAATGAGTCATCAAAGGTCATCAGCATATAATTCGTATTTTTCAGGGAGATGAATGCTTTTGCTTACATCATTAAATGCCAAAATGAACAAAGTTGTGCTTAAAACAGAACCTTGTGGTACTCCATTATATTGAATGCGAGTAGATCATAGCTTTCCATTTAAAATAACTTGTACGAAGTAGTATATGTTTCTGCCACATCCATATTGTTGAACCTTTTTTCACAAGCTATTGTTTAAACTTTCAAACATGTTTTAATTTTGTTTTTTTTTTACGTTTTATCTCCGCTTCAATGTGTATCGAAAAAGTCGTTTTTTAAGGTACGATTAATTGTTAATTTTTTATTGCAAACTCGATAACATATCGCGTTAGATAAGAAATAATATAAGTAAACAAAACTAAAAAATATTTATAAAAATATACATTCACCTACAACATTAAAGAAATGGAGTTAATTTTTATACACGAAAGGGATTTGTGTTGTGTAGTCAAACCCTGCCACTAAATTTTTACTGTTATTATTGCTTCGTTTGTATATTTTAATAAAGTTAATATTTTTACATTAATAATATTTAGATTAGCTTTTTTAAGTATTATTTTAAGTATATCCAGACCATTTTCAAGCCAACAAAGAAAATCAAGGACTGTTTAAGATCGGTGAAGGACAAACGCGACCCGTTAGCAACGGCCGGAGTATACCGAATACCATGCACATGTGGAATGGTATATGTGGGAACCACAAAAAGGCACAAACACAAGGATCTTCTTCTTCATATTCTGTCTCCATTAACGGAGGTTGGCAACCACATTTCTAAAAGTTTCTATGTCTTTTGCAACGTGGAATAATTCGTCTACAGTCATGTTTGTCCAGTCTCGAATATTTCGCAGCCATGACTTCCTCTTTCTACCTATTCCCTTTTTGCCAGCGACCCTACCCTGCATGATGACCTGCAGAAGACTATATTTCATATCATTCCTCAGTATGTGTCCAAGGTATGCAGTCTTGCGTACTTTTATTGTTCTCAACAATTTTTTGTCTCGACCCATCCTTCTCAGCACTTCCTCATTGGTAACCCTGGCAGTCTATGGAATTCTCAACATTCTCCGTTATATCCAAAGTTCAAAGGCTTCAAGCTATTTGCGCTTTAAACGTCCATGTTTCTACCCTGTACAATAGTTGGGACCAGACGTAACATTCAACAAACTTCAGTCTCAGCGCAGTATTCAGATTTTTGTCACAGAGCAATTGCTTGAATTTTAATAACGCTGCCCTTGCCATTTCTATTCATACCCTGATGCCCTGATCTCTTGGTCTGGATCTAATTCTGTGTTGATGTAATCTCGCAGATATTTATATTTTGTCACTCTCTCTGTTTGCTGTCCACCAAGGGTTAGTTGTTCATTATTTATTGGACTCCTTGATACTATCATAAATTTGGTCTGATCTGTGTTGATGTTAAGTCCCATTTGAATGCATTCACTATTTATTGCATCTACTAAAGTTTGTAGTTCTTCTATACTCTCAGCCATAACTACTGTGTCATCTGCAAATCTCATGGTGTTTACGATTTCTCCACCAATTCTTATTCTCTCAAACACAAGGATAAACGAATATAAAAGTCTGTCGTTTATCGACAAATGTGCCGTTGCCCAACTCGCTTTGGGAAGCGGAGAACATCGGATACTGTTTGAAGAAACGCAGATGCTGGATATAAATTAAAATAAAGACTAATAACTAAAATAATAAACTAAATAATAAACTAAATACTAAATAATAACTAAAATAGAAATTTATGGCATCAGTATTGAACAAGTAATGGAAATAAAATACCTGGGAATTACACTGTCTAGCTATGGATACCTGGACAAAGAAGTCAGAGATCGGCAGAAGTATCGGACGACCGCGCAAAAGATGGAGTGAATACCTTCCATAGAGGTATTAACTCAATGAATAAGCAGAATTTTGACGAGGCCTCGCTTCTTCTTTTTCTTCTTCCTCCAAAAGTAATGTTATTCTGTAGAGTGTTTTCTCTTAGGCATCTTGATCTTGTTCAACTTGTAGAGTTGAGCGATCTGAATGCTGAAGTACACTGACGACAGTCATTTGGCCACACTGTGTGTGTGAATGGGTTGCCCCTTGAATTGACGGAGATTTGACTGTGATCTGATCGTCCCGTGACTGTTGGTTTGAATCATCACCTTTCTACTATTAAGTCAAATATGTACTATTATTTTTGGCTTATAAACATAGTTACAATTTGACCAATTCGTTATGACTTATCCTGATTATTATATAAAATGATTATTTGTTTACTGTTGTTTTAATACGCATGTTTATAGGTTGATCTTGAACACCAAAGGGGTGTTTGGCAAGAAGAAGCCCAGCAACTTGCTAGACAACTAAAAATCCCGTACATAGAATGTAGTGCAAAAATGCGGATGAACGTCGACAATGCCTTCTACGAATTAGTACGAGTCGTTCGAAAATTTCAATTGTCCGAAAGGCCGCCTTTGAAGCCGAATTACATCAAGCGAAACAAAAAGAACTGTTGTCTTCTTTAATCATTCGGTTTTATTCGTTTTGCCATCACATTTTATCTTAGATTTTAAACAACGATCGGAGTTCCATCACAACAAATGGAAAAAATTTAATTGCCAAAAAATTTCCATATTTTATGGTTCTTCTGTAAAGAACGTTTAGTGATTTTTAAAAGGTTTCACTTACTTATCGATTGATCGTTGTAGATCAATATATCCGTAGGGATCATCGAGAAAACAATTTAGTAAGAATAAGAAAATTAAAATAATCAAAACACTGTTCTCATTTTATAGATGTATTCTAGTTAAAAAGTTGCGACAAAAAGGAGAGGAGGTTTCAAATGTAAACACAGACTAATTATTAGCGTCAAAATGATCTGGTTTTTACTAATTAACGTTTTTTTTTTCAAAATTCTTTCCCTTTTTATTTTAATTTCATACTAGCTATTTTATTGCACCTCTCTGATCAATCCAACGTGCGAGAAAATGCTCATTCTTATCTCTCGAACCTTGAACAGCATAATGAGGCGGTGCACCATCATGATAAAACGATATCAGATTCTCTAACAGGTTATTAGACCAAGAGAAATTCTTTGTCGTTTTCTAAAATTGCGGTGGTCCTAGTTTACACCGTATATAGGATTTAGCGCAGTATTATTTCTTCGCTATTGTAGATTTACACTTTTGATATTTACTAATTGTTCGTTCTTTCTAATAAATCGTCCATCTACTTTATTAAGTGCGTTCTCCTGTAACCGTATCTTAAAGGAATTTTTGTTTTTTATATTCACTAGTTTTATTGTCGCAAGTTTCAAATCTATAAAAACTGTGGAGAAGCATGACAAGGACACACGTTTCGTGGTTATTTTGAGAATATCATTTACGAACAATAATCTCGACACATTTATATTTTAATTTCCTAATAAAATACGGTGGTTCTCGTGGAACTGTTATTGGCCTCATTAATAAATAAACGTGTATATTTTTTGTTGAAGTCGTTGTCCTTATAAGCAATAAACGTTCCGAAATAGTTGTCACATGTCAAAATCCATACAACACAAAATGTAATGCAAAAATTCAATTTGTATCAGCGCAGAATGAACATGATAACTCCATTACTAATAAATATACAGTAATGTACAGTGTGTGACGTCTAGTAGGTATGCAAATATGGACCAGTACATAATAGTACGGAAAAAATTATATTATGCGACCTCTGAAGTATAATTATATCGTGGTCCTTTTATTGCTAGTTTTCTGATGAAATATCATTGATTTTAGTAGCTTTTCTTGACGTATTCCTTTCAGAGAATTGTGGATGTTGGGTAGAAAGGATTGTCAATAAGTCCCAACAAACATTTGAAACATTATTTGTTAGAACGATATCAATTATAGAGCTTGTGTTTACTTTTAAAACAACTTATCCTTACCGTAACGAACTTACTCATCATCGAAAACAATATAAATGTAAAATTGCTAAACTTAATTTCAAGTTTTAATTTTATTCTTTGATCATTGTTGTATATTTTATATTTTATACATATTTTAGGAGGTATTAGTTCTGAAAACAGATGTGTTGATCGTTTTTTATCAATCGATATGTAAAATATGTAAAGCTGGATGGATTAATATAAATATACATTTTAAAATATTCATTTGTGTGACGAGATATGTTACAAATCGTAGACCAGGAAAAAGGCGAACAATTAATCGTCAAGTTGTGATGTTTATTGTAATATATTGTTCTTTTACTGTTTTTTTATTAGATTTAGGTATATGATACTTAATATGGTAAACCACGATAGATCATCGCAGATACATGAATACTAGATATAGTGTTTAAAGCGCGCAATTTAAGAGAAATCTTCGAGCATGGATAAATCATGAAATAGATGTATAAAAGATAAACGGGATGATACGAATAATAGATCCCTAAGAAAGCAACATACATAGAGAAGAAGTACAGAGTTTGCATATTAAAAAATAAAAAAAAAAATATGAGTCGAAAGTCTTGTAAACTGTGGTAAAAATATTGATAAAATCGCAAAGCTTATTGGAAGGCAATTTTTATATATAAAACATAAATATTGAAACATAAATTAAAGTATCTCAGAAATTGAAGTCATTTTAGAGCATGCGGTAAAATTTAAGCAGGTGCATAATATGATCGCGAAGCGAAAGTTCTTAATTTTCACACATTATAGCGCAACATTCCGCAGCAAATTCTATTTGTGTATGAGCAACTTATTACTCAAAGTACAATCACATCTCGATCACCTGGTGCAAATAAAAGCACATTTTCGACTGCCTTTTGCGAAATAACGCGAACTTGATGGTTTTTAAAGATTCAATTTGAGTTTGACCATTCTCCTATACTTGTTTCAAGGTCTACCTATCATCAGGGAGACTTGTGAGAAGAGAGAAGACTAAACTGAATCGAAACGCACCAGCTATTTGGCAATTATAGTAAAATAATATACCAAACTATGCAATTAGCGCCTTCTAACGAGGAAAAATGAAGTGAATGCCGATAGCGCTTAAAGTGAGCTATAAATCAAGCTATTGGACGATGTTGGGAATATTTATATTCCACTAATACATCATCACCATCATTTTTGTAGCCTTTCCGTCAAGTAAGAACGATAAACAAAATATATATTTCGGTTTCCCATTCTCCATTCCCCTGTTGTCTCGTCTCCACAATGCTAAAGGTGTTCTGCTCTAGAGAATATTCTTGATTTAAGCACCCTGAAATGGTTCTAGCTTCCTCGCCATTTTCATAAATATTTTTATCTGTTATAATCGCTCCTAAGTCTTTGAATTCTTTAGTGACTTTGAAGCAGTATTCCCTTATAAATACATATTGCCTGGGTTCTTGGTAACCACCATATACTTGACCTTAGGACCGATCTCATTGGCCCCATTTTTAAAGAGGGTGAAGACTTCCTTATACCTCTGGCGGATTGTTCAATTGTGTCCACATCGTCAGCAAAAGCCAGTAGTATTTTTGATCCCTGGGCAGCAAAGACGTTTGTCAGCTCTGGATGTGCTTTTCTTACTGCATATTCAAAGGCGAAGTTGAACAACAAAGGGGCGATATGATCGTCTTTACTAAGGTGTGTGTTAATAAGGAATTATTTCTCTATACACTCTTGAGAGATAATTTCACTATGTACACCTGTACTAATCATACCTGGCTGTCTAGGGAATCTTACAGAATTCGCAGTTCTTTTCCAAAATCTGGTGTAGAGCAAAGATCTCGTCTATGATCTCGACTTGGATGTATTAACTAAAGAAATTTCTCAATAATTCCTACATATGGGTTTATCTCCCTTTGTGTGGATGGGTAATTTATGGCTTTTATCTCACTATTTTTGGCACTGTTATTTCTTCTCTTTGTCAAACTTCGCTTGTGAGACGATATATTTCCAGATGAAGTTTTTGTCTATTTTTTCGAAGTAATTCTGCCTGATCGCCGTCTGGGCCAGGTGCTTTATCATTTTTTACACAAAATTGCTCTCTACTTCGACCACCCTTGGTATTGTTTTTTGAGGTTCAGCTGATTGGTAGTGTCTTTGTTCAAATCACATTATTCTCTTCTCGGTATTTAACGATTGCTTGAAGTATTCTCTCCCCATCGTATGTAAGCAATTGTCGTGTCTCATCTTTTATAAATCTTTAGGTCTAACTGAACACCTGGATAAGATCATGCAGAAAGTTGTGCCAGTCTCGATATTCGCGTACAAGAATTTTTGTGAAATACTCCCACTTCACCTAGGGCTGGATAACATGGAAAGAGTCCGACCACAGCTCAATTCTTTTGATACCGTAACCGTAGGTATCTGGGATTTTTAATTTTCTCCTAAGAAGGAGTGTGAGCCGTGTGGATAAATCTGGATAATAATAATATCGTTGCCAATGGCATCTTTTATCCTATTTTAGGTAGCTAGTGTCTATAGCCCAGGGAAAACAACGGCTTTATGGCCTACGGTGACGGCTAGTATCATTTTTAAAAATGAAAATATTGTTGGTGTCGAGAATCGAACCAGTTTGTCAGTATGTTAGTCCCTGAGCTACAGCCGCCACAAATCTTGAGCTATTGCCCTAGTCTAATTTATTAATACATATAGGTATCTTAGATTTAACTTTATTCAATCTTTAAACGAATATCAGATATTTATTTTTTACCAAACTTTATTTGTTTAGTTTTTCTCACTCGATAATTGTAAAATTTGATTTTAAGATGAACTCTATTTTTATCACAATGCACAATCATCAAAAGAGTTCAAAAATACATCGATGACAGCATCATAAACAGTCGAGAATCGAGATAGATAAAAATCAAAGAACATTTACTTATCTGCACAAATACAATGGTTTCAAAGTAAAAAAAATGAAAATATAATATGTAGATTTTTATAATGTAAGAGCTATTTTTATCGAGAGTGCAGTAATTAGGAGTGTTCGGATCAATTAAGCCAATGTCAACTTGGTTAATTTGAGAGCACAACACGTTAGAGTAATATTCGGTTGGTATAACAAATTAATCAGGTTACAGACTCACGTTTTTCGAATAAATGCTACGAAATAAATGGCATGATTGGTATAAGTGCTTGAAAATAAGCTGATTGTACATAACTTTTAATAATCCGTCAAATTAGTCTGAAAATTTTACTTTGATTTGTATCTAAATACTGTAGGTACTTCTGATAATTTAACTAAAATATCCAACAACTCGTGTCAAGTAAAAATAATTCGCTGATTCTTCGTATAAATCATCTGCAAAGAATATAAAAATATTCGTTAGGTGCCGTGTCCGTATTCAGACATTTAGCCTTCATTTTTACAATTGTCTGAATCCTTTATCTACTGGCTGGTGCGCGAAATAATTCTTCTGCTGTGGAACCACACAATTGCCTATATTACGCAGCCATGAAAGTTTTTTTCGACCAATCCATCTCTTCCCCACCACTTTCCTTGTATTACTCGTAGATGGTATTTGGGTCCCAGGTCTAACAGTGTATTTTTCGATGCTGTTCTGCTTTACCACAACAGTCAACGCTAACCTGAAGAAGATCCTAAACAGGGACACGCATGTTCATCCTATCGAAATCAAGAATA